CTCTCTCTCTCTCTCTTACACACACACACACACACACACACACACACACACACACACTCATATCCACAGTGTTTCCAGAGAATGTCATGAACACCATGGTTCCTTCATTTCAGAATACATTTTATTCAAATTCTATATCCCAGAATTCCATGTTCTCAAGAACTTTGTACTCAGATTTGAACCCATATCTGAAAAGATTTCCCAGAAGCTTGATAACAAGGAGCCTAGTTTTTCATGTTTGCAATCACATAACTGCTATCACCAACTAACTTGAAAATAAGATTGAAATTATTTACTTTATAGATTTGGTAATTGTTTTACTGCTCAGTAAATGCCAGGAAATATGCTGGTCATCTTGAATAAAATGTGATTTTAAAAACTGCACCAAGACAGGATATAGTTAATATACTAATAAAAAGAAAATACTAGCAGTTATAAAGAAAGGGATTGAAGGAGTTAAATTCATTATCACATAAATACGATGTGAAAATGAATTCTTAATATATGGGAACATCAGTGTTATTAAAGTGGGTGTGTACAGACCCGCCACAAGTCTTCAAGTACATTAACATTTAACATGTAACCATGATGATGATGTTTGCATTTCATTGAGGAAGTTATAGCCAAAACCTCTTCACAAAAATGTAAGCAAGATGCTCATCAGTCGAGCTAGAAACAAATGTGCTGATTACATTAGGAAGATTGGTAATTGATTGTTGAATATGGACCCACTGAAAATTATCGTTAGGTTCTCAGTCTTAGTGGAAGTAGTCTTTTGTAGGAAGAACACTATACTGAATTAATTAATGTATGTTATAGAGAATAAGTTATATGACATAATTCTGACATTGTAATTGCATTATTCTATAAAGGGAATCGTAAGTTTAAGTTTTGATACATTCTGAGGCCTACAAATGCAATCTAAATTTGAAAAATTAAAAATGTTGTTCTATTTATATCCTTCCCCTGTAACAACCAGTGTTAGCTCATGCCTCTAATCCTAGCACTCAGGAGGCAGAGACAGTCAGATCTCTGTAAATTTGAGGCTGCCCTGGTCTACAGAGTGAGTTCCAGGGCAGGCTCCAAAGCTACAGAGAAACCCTGTTTTTAAAGACCAAAAAACCAAACCAAAACAAACAAACAAAAAAAAACAAGAACAGAGAATCAGGATTTTGATGAATGCTCAGTTCAAAGACAAAGCAAAAGTAAAGAGAAAAAACTGTATTAACAGAATTATATGGTCTCTAAGAGAACACTTATATAGTTGTTTCTTCTAATAATACTTCTGTTGAAATAGAGAATAAATATTTCTAAGATAGAGCATTGGTAGTTTGTGTGAATAAAAATATCTTGCACCAGAATGGGGGAATGTTCATTTTCATAGAAAAAGAAAAGCAAAAATCTTAATCTTATTACATGCTTGGGAATAGATTCTGACTAGTGTCACTATTACCATTGAACACAGGGCTTGTGTAAAAATATTATCAGGTAATTTCTTTGTTGTTACTTTTATTTTAAAAAGTTGTACAAAGCTGATAATGAATAGCAGTTTGGATGAGAATCTGTTCCAATGCCTATGATTAAGATTATCTTAATTAACTGCTTGCTTGGCTGATATTGTCCAGGTTCCTGTCTTTTTGTGTTTCTGTGGTTTTATTCTCTTTTCCATATCTCTCAGCACTTGCATGCCATTTTAACCTCAGAGAACAATATTTTCTGATAGTAGAGCATTCCACTAAACACACATGACTTTTCTGGTAATTATACTGAGAGAACATCAGGGAGAAAGATCTTCTGATTTCAATAGAAGGAGATTAGGGAAGTCATGCGATGGGTGTGTAGCTGCACCTGGACTCCAGTCAGGAAACTACAGTTTTATTCCCGTCCTTTTTTCCACTAAGAGCACTGTGCTCTTTTATCAGCCCATTTCTTTATTGAGCAACTCTTCTTGAATTTCATTATGAGCCAAATACATCTGAGGAAAAAATGTTTGCGAATGTCTAATCTGTACAAAAATATGTTTGGTTATCTTCAGGCTATTTTAAAAGCTAATATGAAGAAATTACTCATGTGTAATGAATATAATTTGACAATCAATCTGAAAGTACAGAAAAATTTATCACATTTTGTTAATCAAATGAGTAGGAATTTTCTCCTTCATTTTTACATGGGTTACAGCAATGGACAGAAAATTGATTTTTATTTGAATTCTAATGAGGTTGATAAAATAAAAGAAGCTCTAGTTTTATTGTGAGCTAAAGTAGTGATTTAGTAGTGTGGGTAGGAGAATTGAGCTACATTTCCTGATTTCAAGCAGCTTTTTTAAATACATATATAAATTAGATGGTAGATGTACAAATAGATGGTAGATAGATGATAGATAGATAATGGATAGATAATAAAAGATATATATATATATATATATGATGGATAGATACTAGATAGATAGATAAATAGATAGTTAGATAGATATTGTTAGACAGGGTCTTGCTATGCAAGCACTGTGGGACAGAGGCCCATAAGAACAGGAAAAGAGCAGGGAAGATAGGTCACTCCTCTCTATCTCCCCTGTAGCATCTTCCTCCCTTCCCTCTCCCCTGGCATTCTAGCCATTTTCAGGCCTGCATCCTATGTCTTTAGAACAAGTCAATGAAATTATATGTTGCCATGCGAAGGAAACAAATATATGTAATCCTCTGTCTCATGGTACTAGAGGCTTAGTCTCCCCTGAAGAAGAAAAGTACTAGGGTTTAGTGTCCCCTGAAGAAAAACACACACCAACAAACAGAAAAATGAAACCAAAAATCATGGAGTCCATTTTGCTTTGACCAGCTACTCCTGATCATGAGTCTAGCCCTGGAGGATAGTTTATGCAACCGGTTCACTCCACTGGAAAAAAACCGACTTTTTACTCCTCCAACAGATATAAATTGCCAGTCACCATAGATGTTGTGGGCTAATGTATCCAATAATCTTGTCATTTCCAGAGGACAATTTATACCCTTCCTCCTCAGGTTACAGATGTTAAGAGTGTTTTCATCCCCCTTACATGAGACGTTCCCTGAGTTGAGGAGTGAGGGGTGGTGGGTTATACATTAGTTCCATCTAAGACTGAACACTCACAATGTCTTTCAACACTTTTACCAGTGATGAGTCTCTTCATTAACCACTGTCCTCTACAATAAGAAGCTGCTCTGACCGTGCTTGGGAGGAAAACAAATCTATAGATATCAACAGAAGTGTCCATCAGTTCAAGACTGGGTAAAGAAAATGCTGTATACAAAGACAAAAGGAATAGCACAGACCTTAATAAATAATTCTTGTTACTTTTGACTACACTAATAAACACAGGGAACAGCATTATGAGCAATATGATCAATCACAAGACAAATAGCATGATATTGCTCTATAAGAGTATTAAAAACAAACAAACATATGGACCCAAGAATTGAATGGTGGTTATCAAGGGGTAGAACAAAGGGAGGTTTTTTTGAGGAACTGTTGGTCAAAATGTACAAAATTTCCATTAATTAAAAGGAATAAGTTATAAAAAATCTATTGTATAACAAGCTAGTTATAATTAATAACCAGCTAGTTAAAATTATAGAAGGATTCTAAGTGTCCTTGATAGTTTAAAATAATTGATATGCCAGGTTGTTAGATTCATTTCCCAGAACATTTCATAAAGTCACACATAATATAAATATGCTATGGACTATTAATTTATGAATTTCTAAAAAATATATAAACACAAAAGCTAAAATTCAAGTGGTACTGGTTTTATACAAACAAAGATGTTTTAAAGCTTGCAGAAACTTATACCCTGTGCTGTTTTTGATTACTAAATTTTACATATCGAAGCTCATTATATTGAAACTTACAATTTAATAAACTTTATAAAGGATAAGATCTTCTAAGTTTAATACAAAAATTGGCACTGTACTTTTATCTAATGGTTGTTCGCTA